CCCCAAAACCCCAAAACCCCAAATATAGATTATTATTGTAAGAAAGTGATAAAGTTAGATTAAATATTTTGAATTAAAATGAAAGGATTTATCATCTTAAACAACAAATCAGGTACTTTTACTATAATACTTTATTGCCATAATTAATCTTTGATTTTGCTTAGGACAGCTTGTATATCATAGATACTACACTGAGAATAATAAATTATCTAAGCTTCCAGACTAGACTAATCAGTAATTTGACAACTAGGATCCTATTCAAATTGCTTCGCATTTCTTTGCTCTTTTGAAAATGTCGGAAATTATGCTTGAAGAATTCAAATCCGAATACCCTGAGTAATTTGAAAACGATGTAAATACTAAGATGGCTTTAAAAAGTGGCTTCAAAGCTTATAAGTCTGAGGGTCTTGATTACTACTTAGAACATCATGAAACCTTTCCCTTGACTCTAGTTTTATTTTACGACAGTGAATAATTGAATGATAATGTCATGAAAAATCTCACTGCCAAACTTCTTGATGTTTTTGTCTACAAGTATGAAAAGAAGCTAGCCAAGGGTAACTTCAACCTTGGCAATGGGTTCTTAAGTAGTGCCTAAAATATCTCACAACAAAATAATTAGTCTACTTTTGATCAAGTATTATCTCTCATTTATGAAGATGTAAGCCTATTTATAAGATGCATTCTTATTATTTTCTTTCCTGTCATTAATCTGAATATTCGGTTTAGACTTTCATCGAGTGGGTTAAAATGATATTTATTGATTTGAATGCACAGAACATACTAATTCCTTGGATTTATCTGTTCTACAATGACAATTTTGATCAAGTAAAATTAATTTTCTTCAGCCTCCTTTCTAGACAAAATATGATCAGTAAGATAAGATATAGAAGATTAATGTGAATCAGTCAATTAAGAAAGTGTCCTAAAATTCTACTATCAGTCGTAGTGGTATGGACTATAGAGGTGCTCACACTTCAGGCAACATGAATTGAAGCAATAATCCTATTATTGGGAATACTGGTGGAGTTACAGCTTTAAATGCTTTGAATTCAAATATCAACGATTGTAAGTGAACATATATTTGGCTCTATTCATTCATTTTCTACTAGCTGAACTTGAGATTGAATTTGGATATTGCACTGAGGAGGAGAGTATCTTTCAATCATTTAGTCACGAAATGGAAAGAGCTTTACCCAAAATTAAGAAAACTTTTACTATGAAAAAGGATCAAAAGAGTGTCAAGGTCTAGTTTAAGGATATGATTAAAAGGGTAATATACTGGATCATTATATGTTGCATTTTAGTTCACTGATAAGACTAGAACATTTGAGTTCATGGTGAAATTCAAAGTTGAAATGGAAAATAATTAGGATTCTTCTAGCATTTACTCTGCTAATGGTGGCACACCATTAGCTCTAATTGAAGAAAAAGAAAAAAAGAAATTCTTAAAGGTTAGTGATTATCTAAGAGAGTAGATACCTAATGATTACTTTAGAAAGAATTAGAGATTAATGACTAGTCAGTGCTATTTAATAAGGAGATTGACGAAAAAAAGCTGATCAAGTTTATGCTTGAACTAATTTATAAATGCAACAGCCTCATTGATCTTATAAATCCAAATGATTCCATCAAGATGATGGAGATGTCTATAAACAAGCAAGATATTATGTGTAAGTATTTTATCACTACATATTTTGAGGTTTAAATACTTTAATGGCATACATTATCGATAAGAGTTCCATGATAACCATATAATCTGTAGTGGACAAGTCAAAGCTGGTGATTATAAAGTTAGATAAGCTATTTTTAGTGATACCCTTGACAATTACTAAGGTTGAAACCAAACTTAGAAATGTTTTTATTAACTAGAGACCAAAGATGGATGGACTTGCTAGATTTATGGAATTCTATCTTAAAACATTTTCTTCTCCTTTAGATATGCCTAAATCAGATAGTCATACTTAAGCCTAAGTAAAAAAGAAGTGAATAAATGGAGTTAAAAAATAAAACTAAGCCAATTATTTAGATTAAATTTTAGAGATTTTTTTCATTTAATAACTAATTATTAACTAAAACATCAATAATCTTTCAAAGAGGGGTTTTGGGGTTTTGGGGTTTTGGGG